GGTTCTTTTCAACACATTGAGTATTGTCTTAGCCTCGAAATGAGTTCACATATGAAACGTGATTATTTCTTGATATCCTGTTAACAAGGAAGCTAGATGTCATTACTGTGTGGATTATTTTCTGTGGGAAGTCATGGGTTGGCCAATACATCCATTTCAGGTCGTTTCTCTGTCTTACATACTAACGAATTTTCATCAGCAGTCGGTTGTTTCATGCTAGAAACGTTTATACAAACGACACTTTGGACGATGAAATATGGTTATGGAACAATTCATTATGTATGAACAAATATCCAGGAGCTTGCTACAGTCTCCTCGATGAGATCAAACTAATAAAAGTGCAAACGATGCAGAAGAAACGTATATATAGAGAGAGGATAAACTAATGGGCCTTTCCACTTCAGCGTGCATTTATAAATTTAGGTGGATTTTTGAAGACAGTTACATAGATACAAGGACTCATCAAGACCACCATCACCTTCTTGGGGTCTGTGTAATTTGCTGAGAAAAACAGTCGTAACTTCAGTCAAGAGTTCCATATAGGAACGACTCCTATTGGATATGGGGCACGGGAGGAATGAAAATTCAGTCTTAACGATTTTACACAAGGTGACATCTCAATTCTCCACACTTGTACACCTTCCACTACTGACCGGAGCTGAAGCAGTCACCATAAAACATCTTTGACACAATCGATTTGTTCAGAAAGTGTGTATTCAGTCCTTCTACCTAATATGGCTTTCACCTACAACCTAGAATAGTTAGTTATCTCTCTCAATGATATCGGATGACTGTACGTATTATCTTCATTTGTACTGTCTATCTCATCTTCATTATCAGTATCCTACTGTGCTGTAATCGCATATTTTGATCTCAAGAAATTAAACACTCCACGATCCAACTGCTATGAGGCAGTGGTTATTTTCCCCTATACGTCTATAAGTATACTCATTCTACTTTCACGTTTACAACGATTGACCACTCCAAATTATACAAACACTTGCATGAATTTATCATTATCCTTATTATTATTGTAGTCATCTCGATTATTATTCCCTTAAAACACGTCCAGACGCTAATCCTACGGTGGCCAAACTTGGATTGATGATTCTTCTTCTCACCAAGAGTGCTCCTTCCCCTTAACCCTCTTGGTTTTCTTTCCCTTTGCTTATTATTACAAATATTATTATTAATATTATTATTGTTCGTCATAATTTATGCCCTTCATACAAACATTCTCTCAATACTATCGAATTTTTCATTTATACTATCCGGACTTATTATTAGTGATATTATCTCTTTTCTCAATATATGCCTCCACCTGTTTCATTTCACATATTCGTTATCTCATTATGAACCTCTCATTGCAGTCTTACTATCTCATCATCACCTGTCCCAGATATCTAAAAAATTCTACTACCCGTACGACAAATAGGAGAAAACAAAGAAAACTATAAAAGTCAAGTTTCAAAGTCGTGTGATCACAATTGATATGATTATGGACAATAAACGTCATCCAGTAGATAATACTGTTTCACTGTGTGATAATTCTAATAAAAAAACTAATATGGAATGATTTATATACGTCCAAACCAAGTTCACTTTTAACAATTTGAAAAAATTTGGGCATTGGGTATATGATATTCATTATAATAAAGGTTGTTGTATTTCCCAATGAATGAAAAACAAAACGATATTGTTTTTACGGACGTTTCGCTATTTAATGCTAATAGCTTTATATGTATGCTGAGATTTTGTAAATTTCGGTTTAATAATACTTTGATAAAGCTCTAGCATTAAATAGCGAAACGTCAGTAAAAACAATATCGTTTTGTTTTTCATTCATTTGGAAATACAAAAACCTTTATTATAATAATATGGAATGACTTACTATCTCTTGTTTGACACAGACCACTTTGTACTAGCCACTCACCTGACACCTTTTATAACCTTGAACTGACTTGTCAATTTTCCTACCCCACACTCTACAATTCTATTATGATTAATCACTACCATTGTCTCCCGTTTTACATTATTTTGTAATTCAGCCTAGCATATTTGTCACACAAATACGACTTGCTCGCACCAGCAAGTACAAAAACTCAACCATACCCTACTTAGCTCGCGTTCTGTGTGATAAAGAAAGCATTAGGCGTGACACCTATAATTCATTAAATAGTCATTAGTACAACTGGATCTCATCTTTCCAACCCACTTCATCAATAGGTTCAACATTTCCTTTCTTTCTGTTCCTTTTCTCTCTCTTCTTTTTCCGTTATGTGCTGCTTTGTCTCTTTCTTTCGCTTACGCCAGTCAATAAGACAGCTCCCACTTTTCTAACACCTTCAAACACTGTTTCAGCTTTACCTTTGCTACTGAACATGCCAATGCATTGTTGTAATAATGAACTGTGGTTTCCTCAATCTATGTAGAATTCTATTTATTGACAATGTACTAACTGGATGCAATACTGTAGTAAAAATGCTGAGAATTCCATTCTGTATCACAAGTACTGTTTTGGAATAAAGCAAATTATTATTATTATTTTGACACCCCATAACTAACCTGTTATTCTACGTTAAAAGTGTATCCGCTGCATATTTTATAATTGTAAGAACCTGAAGAGAAATTATTGAAAAGAATATTCTTCGTTCAGATTGACTTTTAATTCATAATATGGGAATATTCCACACTATCAAAACTTTATATGCCTCAACTTTCACTCGTTTAAGCACATGGTCTATAAATGTGCATGATTAATAATTTGTTGGGGTTAATTATAACTTACGAACGTACCTACATGCAAAATGTGACAAACAGTAGTGGAATTTTATATGTCGTCGACACAAATACGTGTATGCTGAGTTACCTGTTCCCAGAGTGTTACATATTGAGGCTGATGGTAAGTTACTACTGATGTATGTGGTTAGTTGGAAACCATTTACGTGAAACGGTAATTCCTGCTGCATAGATATAAGTGATTTCAACAGTGGACGGCAGATTCACTCCTTTGAAGCGAAGCACATAGTTTGCTGTACTTAGAATGATTCAGTCGACAGAGTCGAATAAGTGAATGTCACCAGAATTCTGGCAATACCCAGAGTAAGATTCGTTATTTGGAAATTATTCGGAAGTATGTAATCTACAAATGACGAATTCGATGTCATTGAGGAACTTTTCGAAGAAGGCGAAAGTGTGAAATTATCATGTTACACTTATTTTGAAATTATGAGTAGTGATTACGAATTCAACTGCCAGGTATATACTCCAAATGGATAACACTGCATAGAGTGATTCTTCAAACTACGCCGATCGTCAGCAAACATCAGAAAATACAAAAATAATTCATAGATCATTTATTTCTCACTCTTCCAAAGTTTATCTCTTAAGTAGGTAAACAGGTACAAAAAAACAACAGTAGATCTCAATGGAGTAAGCATTCCACACAGAAGTTCACTCCTCAAGCAAAACAAGACATAACAGCGAGTAGATTTGCGCCTCACTCTCTTCAAATACATCTCTTTCTATACCATGGCGTTTCTTAACCAATCGAATCTAAGATTGCTATACGTGTTGGGCACCAAACTGTCGTAAAACAAGGTCAATACACATTTAAATGCCAATTTATTGAAGTAAAATCCGACACATTTCGAGTTCCGCGTGCATCTAAAATTTAAACGACATTAGAATGTTAAGAATAAGTTGATTATGAGACTAACATTTTCGACAGAAATCAATATCCTCATGCTTTGGATTTAATGTTTTAAATGCACAATTTTCTAATTTTTATTTGTCATATAATTTCATCACCTAATTGACAAATCTGCCTACTTTTCGTTGTAAAATTTCATTTTGGCATCAAATTCACTAACTGTGATGCAGTTCTGATTACAGTCAAGCGAGATTACCACTCTAGGAAGCAACTTAATTCATGAATTTGAGGATGTTTGGTTAATATTAGAAACAAGTCACAGAATGAATGTTTATAAGCCAGCTGGAAATTAATGCTTTCAGTGTGTAACCTCATTATTCTAGTAGAGAAATACGCGCCTCAGATTCGCTTCACTCTAGCATATATGGAAAAAATTCTTTTTTTTTCTGTACGAAAATTTGAACTGTTCTATGTGTCTTTGGTAAACAAATTTCGCATCCTCTGTGCCAACGGCGTTTCGATCATTCTGTCTGTGATATAAGAATCGAAGTTGTGCACTGTAGAACAGTATACTTCCATTGTGTGGAGAAAGTGTTTTTGTTAAAGCCTCACAGCATCATACAGTAATGTCTACTGTATCAGTAAATATTACTGTATAACGCTGTGAGTCTTTATCAAAATAAGTTTTATCCACAGTGGAATTAAACTTTCTACAGTTTAAAGTGTTAGCAGCTGTGATGCTGTTTTTGAAGGACATGGAGGATGCATGCCACACACACACACACAATCTCCCTCCCTCTCTCTCAGGCTTAGAACCTGCCAGTAAACTAGCCTACTTACATTGAATTACGCCTGCCTTCTCTCTATACCGAAGATGAGATGCGTCAACAGGAAATGACAAGCAAAGCGGACTCTAACAGATAGCGTACCAGCCAGCAGTCTATCGCTGGCTCAATACATATTCAGAAATGAAGGGAGACGGACTAAATTACGTTGAGGAGACATTCAAGTGATAGCATACACCAGCCCAATTGATGGGTGGTAGTCGAATGACGAGCGAAACGTATCCACGAAGGTGATGTGGATAACAATATCTGTGGAAGAAATGAAAGCATGTGGTTGAGAAGTCTCAAGGCCTGTTGATAGTGATTTGAAAGAACTACCCTGAATCCAGATGTGCCAATTAAGCTGCATGTTCCACATGGAACACAAAGAGTCAATAATAAAATTCGGCCCAATCAGGTTGTATCAGTCATTTGAAACCTTACAAACATGGAATTCACAATCACCTTTGAATTTCTTGAAAGTGTATTAAAGTAAAAACGATAATAGTAATAATAGCAATCAGTTACAACACAGTCAAAAACGAAACTAACTCCATGGTGCATCTACGTAAATCAGTTATATCTGTCTTGAGAAAGCAACCATCTCTCCCAGTAGTAGTCGATATGAAACTAGGACTACTTATCTTCTCAGATTTGAACTTTTTAACTATAATCGAAGAATCAGTATTCTGATGTTTTCTCGATGGTCGGATGGGAACTTCGACACATAAAACCGTTTGCAACAATCTACAATCTACAGATTCACTTGTTTTCGTAGACACTGTGTAAATTGAACATAGTTCAACACCTCCAGGATCAGATGATTTCCAACCACCTGGAATCTTCAGCTTATTCATATCAGCTTTCTTCAGTGTTGATGACACTGAATCACGATACCACCAGTTGAGTTTTGTAGTATTGTGAAAATTGAAGAAGGCGTTATAGCCTAACCAAAATGCTCCAATATTGTCAATATCACGCAAATGTTCAATGTCTTCTATGAGTGGTAGTCGAAAGCGTTTTCTAGTTGATCTCCTCTGCAAATCGCACCATTCGTTTGCAAAACAGAATGTTGATTTGGTTGGTCCGATGAGATGTGAATAATGAAGTGGAACTGCACCATTTGACTTTGCATCCTGCATAGTTATTCCTAAACTGCATAATAGTATGAATGTGAGATACATATTCTCTTTCACTTCCCTATAGAAATTGTCAGTATTACCGATGAATGTGAATGGTGATTGATGAGGGGTAAGTGAGCATTGGATACTTTCATTTATATACTACGATAATCCAAAGCTATTGGTCCAAGCATTTGTATCAAGAGAATTTATGTTGTTTCTTCTATACTACTAAATTTCGGTGTGAGTAAGTTGAGAGGAATCACCAGAAATAAGAATTGAAGTTCAATGGGGTGTTTTAATTTCCTAAACCTAATTGAAAATTTGTAGGATAAACAAGTTCTTTCTATTGCCTGCTTGAGTAATTGCACTCTTGTTAAATTTCCTTTGATCTTATTTCTTAATTGAATTTCGGCTATTCAGCAGTTTGAATTTGTACACAGGAGTTATCAGATAACAATTATTATTATTATTCTCTTGGTTTCTGAGTGGAAAGTAGGCGTCAACAGATTATCTCCACTTTATCTTGTTCTCTGCAATTCTCCTCAGACATCCCAGTGACTGCCTATAGTCCCTCATCGTCTCGACACATTATCTCTTCTACGTCATATTCAAACCTACGCCTGTCTCGTTTTTTATCTTTCGGGTTCCACACTAGTATATACTTGATGTGTGATATGTCTCAACGCTCTCCTCATCGTTTGTCCGATCCATTTCCATTTTCTTTGGCGTACTTGTTGAGAAGCGGATTCCTGACTGATTGGTTCTCAGAATTTCTTCTAGTGACCTCTTTTCGGCAGAACCATTGAAAATGGACCCAGAGACAACAGCGGACTTGATGACGTCACTACTGCAGAAGGTGTGGAAAGAAGGCAAAGTAACCGAGGATTGGAAGAAAGGATACTTATTCAAACTACCAAAGAAAGGAAACCTAAGTCAATGCAAGAACTGGCGCGGAATTATGCTCCTGTCCATCCCAAGCAAAATACTAAGCCGCATCATCCTGGGGAGAATCAAACAAGCCGAAATGGATGAAAAACTTCGACCGGAACAGGCTGGATTCAGGAGAAACAAGTCATGCATTGATCAGATCGCCGTATTACGGATCATCATTGAACAAAGCCTGGAATGGCAGTCACCTCTCTATCTCAACTTCATCGAATTCTAAAAGGCCTTCGACAGAGCCGATCAAGAGGTGATTTGGAAACTACTTAGCTACTACGGGGTGCCACCCACAATTATACATCTCATCCAACAGCTGTACGACAATGCTGCATGACAAGTAATCCACAAGGGGAAACTTACGGAATCTTTCGAAGTGAGGACAGGAGTAAGACAAGGCTGCCTACTATCGCCAATGATTTTCCTAATTGCAGTAGATTGGCTAATGTGACAAACAGCGGGGAATGAGGAAACAGGCATAAAATAGACTCACACAAAAAACTTGGAGGATCTGGACTTCGCCGATGATATATGTCTGATTTCCTACAAACTGGAAGATACGCAAGCGAAAAGCAACAGGTTGGCAGAAGAAGCATCAAAGATAGCAAGGACTTCAGGTGAACATAGAGAAGACAGAGGTGATGATGAAGATTCCTGGACAAGAACAGCAACAACAACAGACAACAATCAGCATAAATGGGAGGAACCTGAAAGAAACAACCTCTTTTACCTACCTGGGAAGCATCGTCTCAACTACAGGCGGACGGAACTGACGAGGATATCAAAGCAAGAATCGGAAAAGCAAGACAAGTTTTCACTACTCTCAAGTCTGTATGGAGGTCAACAGCACTCAGCATCAAAAATAAGATCCGAATTTTCAACTCCAATGTGAAGTCAGTGCTACTATACGGATCAGAGACTTGGCCAGTGCGTCATAAAGAGCATCTCAAACAAACTACAGACCTTCATTAACAGTTATCTTCGCTCAATACTCAAGATCAGATGACCAGAAAAGATCAGTAACAGGGATCTCTGGCAATGAGCGAACCAACCCAGCAGGAACCGATTGTGCAACAAATAGGCAGGAAGAAATGGAGATGGATTGACTGGCCATACTCTGAGGAAACCAACAAGTGACATCACTAGACAAGCCATTGCTCGCATGGAACCCGAAAGGGAAGCGGCGAGTTGGTCGTCAGTGCAAGGGTGACTTGGAGGAGGTCATGTGAAGAGGAGATGAAAACGTGTGGACAGACTTTGAGCCAGGTGAAGACTGGAGCAGAGAACCGAACGCAATGGAGACGCACGGCTGAAGCCCTATGTTCTTCCAGGAATTAGAGGAAACAAATAATAAATAATAAAGAAGGCAGTTGTTGATAAAAGTCTGTAGTAGACTGTTAGAAATGCCTTCTGTGACACACAGACCAAGTTTCTGACCCATAAACAGGAGCTCACTGACTTGATATTGATGTTGAAAATCCGAATTTTGTCATTCATGCTGAGTGCAGTACAGTGGATTTCCACACTAATTTCAAAGTAATGAATGTCTGTATTGCCTTCTTCATCCTGCCTTTGACATCCTCATCCTACCTACCTGCTTCCTACCTGTAGTTGAAACAATGTTGTCTAGATAAATGAAGACATTGATGTCTTTCGATTTTTTCCTATGATAATGACTGATGCTTGTTGTTAGTTGTCGGTGGTTATCTTCATCGCCTCAATCTTCTCTATGTCCATCTGGAGTCCTGTCTTCCTTCTTCTCCTGCCAACTTTTTAGTTTAAGCCTGTAAGTCTTCAAGTTTGTGTGACATTAAACATCAATCATCCACGCGCAAAATCCAGATCTTCTAGAGTCTTCTTATCGCTGCTCCAGAGTTTTCCTGTCTCCTCGCTCCCCGATGTCTGACGCATAATCTAGTTCACCCCACCACAATTGTCTTACTCCTGTATTCACTTCGAACGGCTCGCTGAGTTTCCCTGTGTGGACCACCTGATATATGGATTTGTCATATAGCCATTGAGGACAAAATTTATCAGTATCTGATTGGTCTAATCATATCTCTGTTAAATATAATTACGATTGTACAGCTCATGAAAATTAATCGTTGAAAAGAAAATTTTCCTCGCTATTTACGTCTTTTTCTTTTGACTCACTATGGGGATATTCCAATGATACAGCCAGCTGTTGAATGAGATTGATAAAGATTTGGGCACTGCACTCCATGGTATTGAAGCAGTTTCCAAATTACTTCTTGGTCAATGCTCTCTGTCGAAGGCCTTCTCGAAGTCGATGGAGTTCACGTAGAGGTTTGACTACCATTCTATGCTCTGTTCGATGATGATGCGTAGAGTTGCAATTTGATCGGTGCAAGATTTGCCTTTGTTGAATCCAACTTGTTCAGGGATAGAAGAATTCTGTATCCAATACACCTTTTATTCTCTCCAGGAAGACACAACTTAGTATTCTACTTGGCGTAGACAAAGGTATTATTCGACCGCAGTTTTTGCAGAGTGAGGTATAAGTCACCCTTCTTTGGTAGCTTGACAACGTAACTAGCCTTTCTTCCAGTGCGCGGATAAATACCGAAAATTTTACAGCTGTGGTGTATGCCCATTTGCTTTAGTCTCTCAATTCGTTTTCAGTGCTTCGGGGGGAATTCCATTCGGCCAGGCTGCCTTCCCGGTCGGCATTCAGTAGCTTCATCACATTCAAGGATTCTGCTTTCGTTGGGGATGAGTTGGTGTATGCTGGCAGTTCTTTTTATTTTATTTATTTTATTTATTTTGATTTACAGCTTGATTCCACACCGTATTTTCAGTACAAGTGTGGAATTTTCAGCATGGATATCGGTAGCCCAAATTCAGGCCGACCATAGATATCGGGTGTGCGTCGGCAGGGGATCGAACCCCGGACCATGTGCATGGTCGGCGAGAGTCCTAACCACTGTGCCACCGACGCGTGCCGTTGGTGGTATTTCTGGACAAGGTTCAGTTGATTGTTGATTCAAGAGGCCTTTGAAGTAATAAGCTCATTGTTTTATTTGTTTCTCTTCCTTGGTAATCAGGTTCCCTTGAACATCTTTCATTGGTTTCATCATCTGGGTTTATTTGTCCCAGGATAGCGTGTAGCCTGGCTATCAGATATAATGTTGTGAGGTCTCGCTTGCTCGGGGTCTGCCTGTTCTGCTTCAGTTGCCAGCCAATGTGTCGTAGAATTTTATTTTGTCTTTCCATGCACTCCTCTTCACTTCTTTATTCACTACGATGTAAACTGAAGTCAGCTTCACCTTCTGTTGTTCATCTTTGCGTTTGAGTCATCTCTTTCACCATAATCGTCTCAGCCAACATCTCATCCCATTCTCAAATCTGTGTCCAGCAAACTGCGTCCTCTACTTTATTGAGCAGCATTGAGATGAAGTCTATCTGGTTTGTGGTGTGTCCGTCGGGTGGAATCCATGTAGCCTCGTGTATATCCTTAGTGATTGTATATACTGCCTCTGATCATTAAATCGTTGAATACACAGATGTCTGCGAAGAGCTCTCCGTCCTCATTCACTTCACCTATCCAGAACCTCTCTACTCACGGTAGATTCTCTTCCTGTATTGTCGGTTTACATTCATGTCACCTATAAGGATTTTGATGTTACCATTTGGGATGTTGCACACTACTGTTTGCAGTTGTCTATAAAAATCTTCCTTCCTCTCCTCTTTTGAGTTGTTTGTAGCACCGCGCTCAGCATTGGATAATTGTAACCTTCGTTCCTTACTTAATTTTCACTTGAGTTTTGCTGTCATTATCCCTCAGGATGAGACTGGTTCCCACTGCATTAGGGGTTTGCCTGACACTGGTGACATCATCATAGCCACTCACTGTCTCAGTGTGCTCGAGGTTGTCGTCTGGGTGACCAGATCGGAGTAGATTACTGACTCCCAGCTAACGATTTTCATAGTCCACATCCATTCCATCTGCTCTTGCAGATTCCGAAATCTCCCGTGCCTTATCTTATCATTTCTTTGAGTACCTGCACAGACTTCCCTGCCCCATACACTTTACGAGCATTCCACTTCACCATGTTTTA